TGGTAAGGCTGAAGAAAAGTTAAAAAAAAAACTTACGCGATCATGAGGTTGGAAACTATTACATATGCTATTGACAGATAAAATGAGGAGAATTATTTTCAGACATCGATGAGTGTGCTGAGGGATCACACAACTGCAGCGTAAATGCTGTGTGTAACAATACCAAGGGATCCTACAATTGTACCTGTAAACCTGGATACCATGGAGATGGATTGACGTGCGAAGGTAAAATTTTCAAAGTATGAGTGATATGATGACATAGCTCGAGCGCTGATCCTATCTAATCCAATTGAGCCAGCAGGAAGATTATCAATTAAAAATATGTTTGAAACGAAGAGCGAGTATTTTGCTTTGAGAATACTGTTCCGAGCTGTTGTCTAGTATTTCGTTCACTGCGCACCCAAAGTGTTCCTTTTGCCTCTCCTCGCTCTGCTCAACTTCTTTTTTATGTAATAAGTAACATATTGTAATAAATTTATTAAGATAGCTTCTCAAGCTACAAGTTTTACTGCATAATGTCAATCAAATAGTTGACATTTTATGAATAACAGCTCTTCGTAAGTTTTGAACTAATCACGCCTACTTAACACATCCCAAGCAGGCATGTATATCATCAGATTGGGGTGGTATTTATACAAATATACTTTAACAACATGTGAAATGCCTTTGTAATTCTGTACTTCATCTTATTACAGGTCTGTTTCATTCGTGTTCAGAAATCTACAAAAGTCGAAGGTACAACAAAATTGATAATTTTTTTAAGCTTAGGGTTAGGGTTAGGTTAGAAAAACGCTAGCCAGTGGTGTAACATTGCATCTGTTCTTTTACAAAAGAGAGATACTTTTTTCTTACAAAATATTTTATTTGTATGAAAATAAATCCACAATTGACGTTTAAAAGAAAATTGTTACCAGTAAAGAACGAACAAGCCATGTTATGCGTTTAGCTAAAATAATCTACAACCATGATGTATTTTCTCGTAAGCTAAATGAATTTGTCCAATTTTCCTGTGCGAGCGCTTTTAGCCATTTTGTAAATTTGATAATCATTTCCCAGTTATCAGGTTTACCTAGGAGACCTTGAGAAGCTTTGTTATGAAATAATGATCGATACTTATGCTTTGTGAAAACATATCAAATACTTACCTTTACTTGGATTGGAGGAAGCCACACGGTCCTGCGCTGTGATTTATTTGAAAAAAGAAAAAAAAAAATTGAGAAGGGGCGACGCTCGGTCCCTTCGCCATAATCTGGAGCCAAATAATTTCAAGTCCGACCCTACCAGTATATTAATATATCTATGAAACAAATAATTAACACATAGAAAGAACGACGCTAGGTCCCTAGACTATGATCTCGAGCCAAATATTTTCCCGCGCGGCCCTACCAACCAGTTCATCGGAACATAGCTGTTACTCTTATTACTCCACGCAATCAAAACAAAATTAATAAATAAATTAACACGTTAACTTTACTTTAGATCAAAGGAGAATGGAGCTTATCAACTTCTAGTGGATCATGGGAAGTTGAACGTTTATTGTCACATGACCGATGACCTGGAGGGCTGCGGGGTTGGTGGGTGGACGATGGTAATGAAAATGGACGGCAAAAAGGTATCTTATCTCTTGTCACTATTACCTGTGAATCAAATGTTGCAAAAAACTTCGGACGATTTTAATTTCGGACAAAAATAGTGTCCAGAAATAAAACCGTCCGAAATTTTTACGGTTTAATATAAAACTTTAAAATTACTCTCTGGGCGACGGCGTCACATATTCAAAGCCAATATACATGATATGACTAGAAATCGGATTGGACGGCTTTGCTCAGTCGTTCTTTTTATCACTGGACAGGAAAATATTTGTTTCTTTTATGAGAGACAACATAGATAAATTCTATTTTGTAGTTTATATTTTAATCTTCGATCCTTGCCCAGTTTTATGATACATTAATTGCATTGCCAGTGCCAGTGGTGCTAAGCCTCTTCATCTTCATCTTCATCATCATCAATCAACACAATTGAAAGGTGCTCTTCATTGTCACTAGCGTGTCGTTCTTCATCTGTATCTATCACCGAGGTGATAGATCAAGAAGCTCATAGTTCTTTTGAATAAGCTCTTTGAGACGAAGAAGAAGAAACCGCTTGCTGTCTTCAATTTTAAACGTAGCTGGGAGGACTATCTCAAGCCCTCCCTTTGCAATTAGAGAAGGCCCGTATCTTTCATCCGCGACTGTTACATCGACGCTGCCACCGTGATGTAGAAAAAAGTACACAAAACGTGATATTTCTTGTGGAACGTGGCCAACAACATCAGCTACAAGTTTTTCTTTGCTCTTCATCATCCAGGCGAAAGTGTACTGATCAACGAGAAGTGCGTTTCCGTCTCGTTCTCTTTGGCCATACAATCTCTGACCTTTCTTTGGGTTTGGCCAGACAGTTTTACCATAGACATGCCAACCTCGGCTAGTGATCAGGTGCTTGAAGACAATTTCCATTTGTCTTTAAAGTTTGAATAATTCAAAATTCTCGAACTTCGCTCGTTTCACTGTCGTTTACGCCTGGCCACAGGCAGCCCAAGCTCACTACGAGAAAAGCGGACGTGACTCTTACCGTGTTGCGTAACGTTATATATTTATAAAGGTTTGTATGGGATGTTATCGGTTTGCCTTAAAAGAGAGAAAAAAATGTCTTGTTTTGAAATAAAATGGGCTCACTTTATTGCCTTGTTGTTTTCTTTGTTGATTCCGAACGTCTCAGGCCATTTTGAAGCGTTTTCGGCGAGTTAGCGCTATGTTGGTGTTCAACTGCTAAAAGAAAGACAAGGCCGGAAACCTATTTTAGAAGCGTCCGTCGCCCGAAGCGAATAATTCCGCCAAAAAATTTCCACCAGTCTCGATTCCTCCAGGGAGAATTATTTTCAGACATCGATGAGTGTGCTGAGG